GACAACCTCCCTCAGTGCACTCAGGCTTAACTTGCAGGCACAGCCTGGACTCTCTTCCAAGGTGGGGCCTCCTCTCACCCCCACCTCCACACCTACAGAAGAGCTGGCTGCTCCTTTGCTGGCTATTTTCAGAAAGCCCATAAATCCTGTCCAAGCTCTCGGGGGGCAGTGTGGGAGAGTTTAGACCAGGTTTACCAAAGTGTTACTCACCCCTGAGGCCCTGATCGTGCCGTGCACACAAGAGCTGCCTTCACAGCTTATTTAGAAGGGGCACTGACCCATTAAGGCCAGGGAAGTTCCTTTTCCAACTACCCAGGAGGCCCACAATGAAAGCGTCTCATCACCAGCCAAAGCCCCGGGTTTGTGCAGTGTTAGCACTACAACCAAGTGACTAGACCCAAGAGCTGAGGGGACAGTTGTGAGAGGATTTGGGGAAAGGATTGCTCAGGGCAGCATAGAGAAGGCCCCTACCAAGGGACTCTCCCTATTCCAGAATGTCCAACTCCTTGCAATTCCCAGGCATTACACACTCCTCCATCACCTCCCCTTTGCACAGGGCTCTTCCACGGGCACCCCTGAAGGGCACGAGTGACCTATGACCACAGCAAAGGGTGCCTCTGTCCTCCCACAGACCCAACACAGAGCCAAGGGGCCAGGAAAGGGAGCCAGGAATCAGCAAGGAACTCATCTCCACCATACCCAACAAGACCTTGCCTAGGAGTCCTTTGTAAGCCAATGGATCAGAATGGAAGGTATCATCAACTCTGGAACCCCTGGGGTCTTAACTCCCTATGCTGTTGCAGCCATGTGCTCTTTGAAGACAAGGGCTTGGGCTGGCCAACAGGGAGTCACATGCAGGGCCAGAGTCCTGAGCAACTTGGCTCAGACCCGTCATGGAACTGGGCTGAGTCCTGAGGAATTTTCCACCCAAGGAGATTTCAGAAGGCAAACCCTGCCCCATACTGCTCCCTCCCACTGCTGCTAGGGAAGATGACAGAGCCATGGTGTGATAAGACACAGAGCAAGTTACATAGGCCATGCCACTGGAGCAGCCCCACACTGCCCTCCATGCACAGAGGACACAGCACACAACGTTGCTGGTACAGAAGCAGCCCCTCTGGACAGGCAGCTCCCCAATGGCCTGAGTGCCTCTACGACAGCAACACGCAGAGCCAAGAGGTAGCTGGTCTGGCCAGTGGCACTCCAAGTGAAAACTATCAGCCTCATTCCAGCACAGGCATCTTTGCCCTCCAGTGCACCCCCCAACTCCCGCAAGATGCTGTGGCCTTTTCAGAAAGGAGAGCAGCCACAGAGATGAAACATTACAGCAAAAGCAGGGATGGGGAAGAGGAAACAGCAGCACCAGCACATTTCAGAGAGGCAGTGAGTGTCTGCTCACACCAAGTTCGGCAACGATAGAGTTAATAAGTTGCTGTGCACAAACTCTCCTGGCAGCCTGCAGCAAGGGGCTCCAGACATGGACACCAGGGAGAGCTGCAGGGCAGTAGCCTGGCACTGGATTGCTGAGAACAACCCTTTCTCAGGGAGTAAACCCCAAAGATCAAGCACTGGAGTGCTGCACTCTGCCATCCTCCACCTGGACAAGCATGACCACTCGAAGTCAAGGCTGAACCCACAGCCCAAGAGCCCCTCCCTGGCCAGCCTCCCCAGCCCCAGCCCCAGCCCCAGCCAATGAATGCAGCCTGGGGTTCCCAGGACAAGAGGGGACCCAGACATACCCTGGGGAGCTGTCCAGAGCACAGGAGAGGAGTGAGCTGCTGAACGGCCGTGTATCACAGAGATTCCGCATCTGCAAGGGCACAGAGACACACACATACACCACGTGGTTAGAGCCATGCACATGTCCTCAGTGACTTGAGATCACCAGTGCAACCAGCCTGCCACAACATGCATGCAAAGCTAGCCAGGGGCCTTCACTCCACACATCAGTGCTGGGAATGCCACTGTGGCAACCGGACAACCCTGCGAGGGGCGGGCTCATGGGAACACAGCAGGCTAGCTCCGTGTGGGACAAGCAAGGAAAGATTTGGCCTTGGGACATGACCTTGCAAGAGCAGAACACTTACAGGAGATGTTGCCCTGCACTGTGGGGTCTCCCTTCCCCTCAGGCTCATGCAGATGTGTGACAGACATGTGGCTTCCGTGAGCAAAGACAGGGCTGTGTGCACTGGCCCTACATCCTGGACACAGTGACATGAAAGGGGGCAGCTTAGGCACACAGCAGCTGACACACAGCCAATGCCCAAATACATGCTCTTCCCCATAGAAGATGGAAGCTCAGCTGCAGGAGCTCACCTCTATAACACTGATGACTGAGTTACCACAGCTTGGGCTTCACATACCATGAGAGAAGAGACTATGCACAGGCAGCAACTGGAGAGGTCTGTCCCTGCCACCTCTGACCCCATGGTGAATGGTTCACACCCTCTGCCACCCGGCCAGGCCACAGCCCTGCCACAAAGACCCAAACTGTCCCCTTCTCCTATGGCAAGTCCCCAAGAAGCCATGCCCTTGGTCAGTCCAAAGAAGCCACTGAGGAAGGCAAAACTGCAAACGCGCAACCCTGGTCCACCCTGAGACAAATGCATGGTGAACCCAATGCTTGGGGGAAGCAGGAGGGGGCAGAGTCAGATGCTTGAAAGCAGTCCCCCTCAAAGGAATATGCATATTCTGTTATACCTGGAATAGGCAGTGAAAGGATTGAGCAGCAACAGGAAGTCATAGACCATCCCCCCAGAATAGGGAACCAGGGGCAGACTGTATTAACAACCATACTGCCTCCACTGCCTACAGGCAGCTCCTAAAAGGGGACCCGATAGTGCACAAGAATCAGGTTTGAAGTGAGCAGACATTCAGATACCAAAACTGCCCTGGGAGCTGCTGGGTCTCAGTGCAGCACTTGGGGGCATGGAGCTTGAGTCCTTCTGTCCTACAGGTGCCAAAATTCAAGTCACCTCTTCCTAGACACTCCAGAGGGCAGCTGAGCCTGCTTTTCCCTCCCTACCCAGACTGCCAGGGCTGTCCTGGTCTCACTGCTCACTTGCACTGCATCGTTAAGGTTAGCTATTCCAAATGGAATTTGTTGATTTCCCCAGCCCTGTCCTGCTGCCCCAGGGGACACCGATGTGAGACTACCCTATATGGACACATTTTGATCCCTGTGTGTACAGTGATGTGTCAGCATCTGTCACTCCCCAGGCATAGGCAGGCAGGAGCTCACAGGCGCTGGCACACAGGCTACATGCAGTCATAGCCCAGCACGCAGTCCCATGGGCAAACCCTGCCTGGTCGACTGCGAGGGCATTTGCTCGGATGCAGGGCAGAGTGCAGCTCCTGGAGACAGAGGTGGTCACCTCCTCCTCACTCACTGCTCCCTCCTTCTACACACCAAGGTCCTGTCTATACTAGTCTCTACCCCAGGGGCAGGCAAAATACGACCCGTGGGCCACATCCAGCCCGCCAAGCCATTCTAGCCATCCCATGGGGCCCCTAAAAATATTAGTTAATTAATATTTATTTGCTCCTGGCTGCCTGTCAAAGCTGACAGGAGCCAGGGGCAGTAGGACCCAGGGGGAGCCCTCAGCAGAACTGAGCATCCCAGCCCTGCCCCACCCCCAACCATTTCACTCTTCCTGCCTCCACCTGGCTCCCAGCTGCATCACCAGACCAGGGAGCATGGGGCCCTACATGCGCGTGCACAGGAAAGGACAGCGCATGTATGTGCGTACGTTCATAGGGTGAGTCCCACATACACACCCCACCACACACATGCACCCACACCCCGCATTGTGCTGCCATATATGCAGACCCCCACACCCACAACCCCTCATACACCCCAGCCACGCTCCCCCCACACTCTCCCTCCACAAAACCTATACCCACCCACATCCCACAGCCCCCCACAAACCTATACCCACCCCACCCCCACATGATATACAAGAGTAAGACATCATTTTAAGCTATTGAGCAATCACCTCTGTGTACACTACACAAACGCATCTAAATCAGGACAAAAATATTTTTGGAAATCAAATTAATGAATGCTGTAGATGTTTGCTTTTTAGAATATAATTTGGTATTTTTCTGGTTCTGAGATGACAAAATCCCTTGCTGAAAGGAGTACTTCCGAGGGCAAGAGGAGGGATTTCAGGTGATAAAGGTCAGGGGTTCGGGGGCAGGACTTCTGGTCACAAAATGACGACCAGGGGCGGGACATCTGTCAAGGAGCGGGGCTACCCATGCAGCCCTCGACAGCTTGCCAAAATTCAGTAAGTGGCCCTCCGCCCGAAATAAAAGCCCGCCCCTGCTCTACCCTGAAGTCTCCTACCCTAGTGCTGACAGCAGTGAGGCTCCCCTAGTGGCAGATAGTGAGAGTGCTAATGTGGACATACCAGAAGCATTGGGCACTACTGTCTAGCTTTGCTCAGAGACCATCACCACAGAGGGCTGAGTTCAAACCCCTCTTTCTCCCCAGCTAAAGAGAGCTCTGGCAGCATCCTGCCATCACAAACAGTAATGCTGTCTGCTCTACATGGGCAATTCTGACACCAAGAGGCAGCTAGAGTGCTCTGATCAGGACTATGCTTGCTCTCACAGTGTGGGGAAGAGGTGTCTGCCTCACAGAGGCCCTTTACCAAATGGCCAGCTGCTTTTCAGAGGGGATGGACAGATAGTGAGAGAAGCACTGGGAGATTCTGCCACCCCCTAAGGTGCTGGAGGGGGGTGTCAGTCACTTCAGGTATGCACTAGCATGTCCTTTGGTGCATGCTGTACCCAACCCCAAGTGTGACGTTATGAAAGCTGCTCATCACCCAATAGCCATCAGGAACTGATGAACTGTGCACACTACCAGCACAGAGCCAGGGCACAATAGGATCGTAGAGAGGTCATCTGCAGTAATAACCCTAAGTAAAGGCTCTGATAATGGACAATGGGCACCCTGATTTCCCGTCAAATGAGAATATGACTGGGCACTATACCTGGTTGAATCCAACAGAGAGGAGGTAGTCACTGGCATCCATCCAGATCAGCCTGGAATCCTTGTTGTTCTCATGTCCCTGCACACTCTGAAAGACAGAGGATACAATGGTTACTATTGCTGCAGCAGGAGGGGTGCGTGCCCCACAGAGCTTATGTTTTGCAGGTGGCCGCCTCTAAAGAACAGCTACAAATGGCAGCAAAGGTGCAGATTTTTTGTTCTGGGGACCAGCTCAAGACAACAGAATTAGGCTGCACTGCTACATCAGGGAAATCAACTGGCTAAATCTACGCGTCAGAAACACTCACAACCTCCAAGTCAGTAAACCATTCTGGGCATGATGTACAAAAAACAAGAGACATCATCAGATTCCCCCCAAGATGGCAAGGCTGGCCCCAGAGGCCAGCAGGAGGATAAGCACTAACAAGTAAATGAGTCTGACTTTGATATGTGGAAGGGAATTCCACTGTCACTTTTCCAGGAAGCAGAGTCTCAACCCACGGCCAAAGTAAGGGAAAGATTAACTCAGTCAAATGCAATTATCACCATAACAGCAGCAGAGAAAATTGCAAGACATACAAGTGAGAAGTGAGGTAGGGA